CCAGGTCACTTACAACCCGCCCCAAATATCCACCCGCCCCATTTTTCAATACAACCCATGGTAAAACAAATATATTTCACCTACCCAATTCATTTTAGCCTCATTTCTTCATCAAACCCCATCTTCTTCACCTACTCAGGAATAGTGCATTAGTGTTTAATTAGGATTGCTATCTGCTTCGATTTGGTGGACTAAAACTGAAGAATCTTTCATTTCTAGCCTTATCCAACTGGCTACTCATTGATAAAAATTTACTGATTTGGGTTATCTTTTAGGGTTTGGGAATATTTGGGATTCGGTAAATGTTGTCTCTTTCTTTTTGTTTAATAGGTCATATGATATTATTATTATAGTATCCTTTATGCATTTATTTTTTATTTTTGTTTGGGATGGTCCCAATCGTCTTTGTCCGACATGAAAAAGTTAGGATTTTTTTTTATTTTTGTATATGTCGTTGGGTGGGTGTTAGTCGACATAATTGTGGTCCTTTTCCATTTTCTTTATTGCTTGATATCTTTTTGATTTTATTCATAACTGATGTGGGCCTCTTTTTTGTAATTTTTTTGTTGCATGTGGATATGTTAGAAGAATGGTCGACAAAGTAGATTTGTATTTTAATCATGGTGGTGATTGGACCTGGAACCCACCTTGTCTTATTGTAAAAAAAAGATGTGCACCTACTGAGAGATTATGAAGTAGACCATTTGTCCTACATTGATTTGTGTAATGAATACACTGATGTACTAGGGTATGTTGAGGTACAGTAGCTGATATTTACTACTCCATGTGGTAGATATTATTTGTTGGATGGAGATGAAGGAATTAGGAAGCTTAAGTCACTCATTAATGAAACTTTTAGGGTTATTAATATATTTGTTATTGACCTCCTTGATGATACTGTTGTTGTTCCTAATATAACTCAACGTACTGATACCAATTGTGAAAATATAATTGTTGGGACTGATTGTGACAGTGAGGAAGAGGGTACAGATAATGAACCTATGCAAAGTGATTATGATAGTGATGTTGTGTTAGGGGTATTTAAGAAGCAAAGAAAACTTGAGGTAACAAATAACTTGATAGGTACAAAATCTTGGTGAAGGGTATGACATTTAAGAATCTTGCTGAAGCAAAAGAAGTTATTGATTTTTATTCTGTTGCAAATAAGAATGCTTTAGAGTTAGTTAAGAGTGACAGGAAGAGACTTATATATAAGTGTGTTGTTGGTTATCCTTTTAAATGTCTTATCTCTAAGGATGGAGATAACCAAGGGTGCAAGATAAAGACTTTATATGCTAAACATGAATGTGGGGAAGCATTTGAGAACAGAAGAGTTATTCCTGCTACCTTAGCTCATTATTTTAAGAGAAAGGTTCAAAATAATCATAAGTACAAGGTGAAAGAAATGAAGAGTGACTTGGAGGAGAGATTTAAGCGAAATGTGAGTCAGTCAAAGTTAAAGAGAGTGAAAAGGATAGTGTTAGAGAAACTAGAAGTTAGCTACTTAGATGAGTACAACAAGTTGGAGGCATATGCCCAAGAATTGAGGGAGAGCAATCCTGGTTCTGATGTGGTTATTCAGATATCCAAAGATGCTTTGGAAAAAGGTAAAAGGAGATTCTTGAGAATGTATGTGTGCTTTTTGGCCCTCAAGAATGGCTTCAAAGCAGGTTTGAGGCCTTTTATATGACTTGATGGTACCTTTTTAAAAGGAAAATGCCAAGGTATGTTGCTGGTGGTTGTGGCTCAAGATTCTGCTAAATATTTTTATCAATTAGCTTGGGTTGTGATAGACAAGAAAAATAGTAGAACTTGGCACTGGTTTATGGAGAACTTGAAGAGTTCTTTAGATTTGAAAGAAGGTGAAGGAGTAACCTTCATGTCAGATATGCAGAAGGTACTTTAACTTCTTTTTTTAAATTAGTTTTTTTGTTATAGTGACAACTACTCTTATCCGGAATTATTTGACATGCAGGGACTCTTAGATGATGTTAGGAAAGTATGTCCATAAGCTCATCATAGATTTTGTGTGAGGCACATTGAAGCAAATTGGTGTAAAAGTTGGCATAGTAATGACATGAAAAAGCTACTTTGATGGTCTGCCTAGAGCACATATGAAGAAGAATTTAAGGATATGTTGACGCAACTAGGTGAAGTATCTGAGGATTGTGTGAAAGACTTGTTGAAATATCTACCCTCTAGCTGATGTAGAGCATATTTAGACACCAAATGCAAGAACCTAATGGTGGATAATAACTTTACATAATCTTTCAACTCATGGATTCTTGAAGCCAGACAACAGCCCATTGTGAAGATGCTTGAAACTATCAGAGTGAAGGTGAAGTTAATTAACAGTAGACTATTTTATTATATTGTTTCCTTTCACTTTTTTAAAAAAATACAATCTGTTTTTAATGTGATTGTTTTAATGTTACTATTTGTTATATGAAGGTAATGACTTTGGTAAAGGACCATGGAGATGAAGTAAGTAGCTGGAAAAATGTTCATATGCAATGGAGCTCTATAATGATTATAGAGAGATGGCACAAGATTGTACCTCATTTTTTAATGGAGAGAGGGGTTATGAAGCATCACAAGGTACAAACAGGTACACTTTATTCTTGAGTTTCAGAAGTGCACATGTAGGATATGGGACTTGTTTGGCATTCCATGTCGTCATGCTATCAGGGTCTTCAATTACAAGAAGCTTGATCCAAAGACAGAGATTCACTGGTGGTATTCAAAAGAGGCATTCCAGTTGGTGTATCAACACAAGCTCCAACCTGTTAGGGATGAGAAATTTTGGAAGGTGGAGTCACATCATGCCAGAGATCCACCACCCTTAGTAAAGATGGTGGGTAGACCAAAAGTCAAAAGGACAAGAGAAAAAGAAAAGGCTATTAATAGGCAAGGCACATGGGCAGCTTCTAGGAAAAGCCTTAAAATGCATTGTGGTTACTGTGGAAAATAAAATCACAATCAAAGAAAATATCCAATGAAGATAAAGACATCTAACAATAGTTATCTTATTATTTATGCTTGTTTAAAGACACTGACCAGTTTATTTCACCTTATGCAGCTACAAGGGGTACCTCAGTCAGGGCAGAAACCCAGTGAGCCATCTGAGTTTGTTATAATCCCTAATCCTAGGTTTATACCTCAGTCAGGACATAAGCCCATTGTATTGGCATACGCCTTGGCGTTGAGCAAATTTTCTTTTGGGACGCAAGCCTAGAAAACATCTCGAAATTAGAATTGAAATTGCTAAAGAGTCCTTAATTCAATACGAAAAATACAAAATCAACATGTATTAAATTTTAAAAAGTTAAAAAAATTTAAAATTCAAAACAAGAATTTGTTCTTAGCTCTATTTTTATTCTTTCTCTTTGTCTTCTATCAGGTAAAGGGGAAATGATCGATTTGCAAACAACAAAGAAAAATGCATCAACCTTCATCACTTCTCTGGTTCGACGCTTCTGATTGTAAGTTCCTTTTTCGCTTTTTTCTCAAAGTTATTTTGCTTTTTTATAAATTTATACTCAATTTTTTTCAAAGTTTGATTAGTTTTTCTAGCTGAAGTAGTTCTCATTAGCTTTTTTAGTCAATTGTTGATCCTGGTTAGCATTTTAAAATGAAGTAGTTCTATACATATTTTCCACTTATTATATATANAAGTTTCATGCGCTTACGTCTAGTGTCTTAAGGTTTACGCCTCGCCTCATAACATGTAAAATGTCTCTCTCACTCGCTTGCTTCTTTTAAAACATTGGTTTATACTAAAGGTGTTCAAGAAATTTTGCGACAAAGTTGAAATGGATGATGATCAACTTTGGTAAATAAAAAACGTTGAACTAATCATGCATTTCATCACCACTTTGTGAAGGAATTGTTAGACATATCTACTAAAAAAGCTTAGAGCAAGCGGGTGAGGCCCTCAATTTAGTGACTTCCCTCAGCCTGCTCTTTTATTTTGTCAAAATAGCACGGCTAGCCAGTTTTCGATTGGTCATATAAAAATAGCCAGCGTTTGTCAAGTCATTGAAAAATAACCACTATTTTGCTGCAATAGAGACCGGTCCATCGTAATATACTGGAGTTCGGTGCACCTGTGTATGAACTTCCAGCATATTATGCTAGACCGGTATACTTTACTGGCTCCAGTATAATATAGTGGAGTTCCAGTATACTTTGCTGGAATTTCAGTATATTATACTGGAGTTCCAGCAAAGTGTACTGGAACTTCAGTATATTATACTGGAGTTCTAGTATATTATACTGGAATTCAGTATATTATGCTGGAGTATTTTTCGGATTTTGAACAGTATTTTCGTTCAGATTTATCTTTACATGAAAAGTGACTAAATTTGATGACTTTTAAAATTGTGGCTATTTTTAAATGACCACTTGTAAATCTGGCTATTTTTGAATTTCTCCCTTTTATTTTTGCTTAAGCTTTCGTGATCTTTGGGATTAGTAATTGGATACCTGAGCCCCAAAAAATTTCAGAGGAATAGCTTCGCCAATGATAGGCATAAACAAATGAATATATTTTAGATACATACACCCCATTATTCAAATTAAAATACAAATATTACCTTTGTGTTCAAATGATACTAAAAGAGGGGAAACAATATTACCTTTGTGTTCCACTTTTGCAGTCTAATGAGAAGTTAATGTTTCTAGTTGAGGCAATTTCTTTTATAATTGACTTCATTTTATTCTAGGCAACAAGGATGGACAACTAAGACAGGTATAAAATAGGGTCTGAACAAGGCAGAAGGGAAGAAAACAACGGAAAAATTTAACTGCAGAGTGGATAAGTACTAGAGAGAAAATTAGACATACATCAAAACTGTTTTGATGAAAGACATATATCAAAACTATTGTTAGGGGGAAAAGGACAACCTAGACTTCTAGAGAGCATGTTGAGGGCGATGTTCACAAAAAGTCCCCTATTAAGCCCAACTATGCCAAGAAATGGTAACTGACCCCTAATTGTTGCAAATAATGCAGCATCTGAAACTGTTTAAGAACAGAGGAAGTGACAAAAGGTTGTAAATTGAGAGACAGAAGTAACTGAACGGTCCTCATTTTCTTAAAACGCAGGTAAATCAAGTAAACGACCCTACGATTCTTAAATTGAACTTAAACATATCAAGAAACAAGATCCACAGATTGGTCGTTAACTGCTATTTGTACCTCTAAGTATGGTGCCTTAAAGGCATAAAAGATGAACTTGCCCGGTGTGCAGAACATCTGCATCACTTCTGCAAATGTCCTTTCATACTCAAAAATCATGTGTCCATATAATTAGAATCCATGTCTCAGCACAGAATGTAATCATCAAAGATCGAGTTACACTGAAAGAAATTCATTTCCTCATGAAGCTTCCGGACAGTGAACCAGTGAAGCAGAGAAAGGTTACAGCAAGTTTACTCATGAAAATACGCCTGGGCATACATTACCTTAGTGTGATTGGAAACTCATTGAGCTTGTACAAGAGTAATCAGATGCAAAGTAATACTCCAATTTTACTGTATAAAGCTAGCTTGCTGGTGCCTGCATAGATTGTGCAAGTAAGAAGGAGCGACAGATCATTAACTTCTAACAGGGTACAGACCCAGCGCTCAAGGCTTCAGAATGAGTAACAAGGAGCAGCAAATTACTGTAACTTCTAACACGGTTCCATCATAGTGAATCAGAACTGTTTTCAAACCACAAAGAAAATGTATAAAGCCACTTGAAACTTTCTAAATATTTACCAGAGAAACGCTCCTCGCACTGACATCTAATAGTTATGCCAATGAAAAAAGGAAGGATATATATCTGCAATGCCAAAGACAAGCCCGAAATGGAAAAAATAAAGTGAAAGTTTAACAGTCAACTGCTTCTAGCATGTACAGGTTATTTTGCAGAAAAAGGCAGGCATAAAATTGATGATGCTCTTCAAATTAAACCAAATTACATAACTTTGAAATATGCAATTATTTTATCTTATAAACAGCTCAAATATACAAATACAAACAGGTCATCGCCCACAGAGATAGCTAAAATATACAATGCATCCCCGCTATTCTTGGCTAATCAAGGAAGCAAATCAAATTACAGGCAATTTCAGGATACTAACATTGACCAGACAAAAAGTGCATCTCATCATAAACTGATGAAGATACCAGAACCACTAAACTTTAGCCCAAATATTATGCGATAGAAACTGTCTTTAGAAGTCCATCAAGATACTCCTTGAGTTTAACTTTTGTTATCGCACCTTCCCTTTTACTATCTGGAACTTCCTTTCCATCTTTGAAGAGAATCAAAGTTGGCAATCCATAAACTTTGAACTCTTCTATGAGCTTGGGATTTGCATCATGATCTATCTTAACAACAGTGATCTTTTCTTTATACTCCTGACAGTTAAGAGAAAAGGAAATACACTGTTAGGGAAAAGCATTTACTTTAAATCAAGAACATGAAAGACAAAAGTCTGTGATCGCTTAATGATTCTAGATCAACACAAGAAGTTACAATGTCATTATGCTAATGTCTTTTAATGAAAAGAAGCCTCATTCATCGGATCCAGCATGAAAATTTCTCAATTTTTACATATGTCGAAGCTCTATTTTAAGCTACAGAGTTGTCCCATGGTGCTTTCTAGCTTAAAGGCTTTTGGGCACTGCACTAGAGACATCATAGCTTGGAATGTCTTTTTTCGTTTGCTTTAGCAAGTTGACGAAGAGTTCCCAAAGATTGACTTAATCTTTGCTTTTCTTATTTGTCATGATCTAAAATGATACCAGTAATAATGTGGAAGGAAGCAAAACATATAAAACCAAGTTTCTTCTCTATATATACAGGGAAAAGGGCATGATCTAGAAGTTATTTCAGTGAAAATCTAACATTTCATTGAATTATACTACATGAGGTATCAAAGCAAAGGGCACAAAGCAAATGATTCAGATACCTTGTACTCAATGCTTGAGATTAAAAAATAAAAACCTTTAAAACCCGAATAGACAAAGTAGTCCTATATTGAGTCTAAAATTAAGCCCTAGGATTTGTTTGTTGCGGCAGAATGCTGTATTTGCTTAATATTTACCAATAGAATTTAATCCAATTCATCTCAGCGTTTGACAAAAATACATGTGCAACTATCACATTTATACATGTGACCTTCTACTACTCATGAGACTATTTGGTGGAGGATTTTCTGTGAAACATGTTTTGTCCTGGGAGATGAATTATTATATTTCGCACCCAAGAGTGTGGTCTAGTGTTCAATGAAGTAGGAGGAGAACCATGAGGAGGTCTTAGGTTCAAAACCCAACGGAGTAAAAAAAACACTATGGTAATTTTTTCCCGTTAGTATAAGCCTTGCCGAACAGAGTTAACCGATACTTGTTCTAGTGTGAGGTACCATAAACACAGTAGAATAGTCGAGGTGCATGTAAGCTGGCCCAGACACCATTTTTATCATATATAATACTTCCCCCGCACCAATTAATGTGATGCACTTTTGTTTTTAGTCTATCCAAAAAGAGTGATATCTTTCTGTATTTAGAAACAATTTCACTTTATACTCTTCATTTATCCTTGATGAGATGGTTTATAGCCACATAAATATCTATGACTTGTTTTAGAACACAAGTTTCAAAAGTTCTTTTCTTTCTTAAACCCTATGCTCGGTCAAGGTGCATCACATAAATTGGGACAGAAGAGCACTTAATAAGTTTCCATATATCGCCTTGAACAAAACATTTCAATAACTCAAGTTAAGAAAACATCACAAATGATTTTTGAGACAAAAAATAATTACTTTCCATCATACTAACCACACATACATCAGTTTAACATGCTCAATGAAGAAAGAAATTGACAAGGGGGAAATTGAAGCTTTAATGCAATATAATTCCAATAACACTACCTAAATAAAGACGTAAAAAAGAATAAGAACAACCTCAGCAACGGATTCCATAGCAGGACCAATCAAGCGGCAGGGCCCACACCAAGTGGCAACGAACTCCACAAGGACAGGACGATCAGACTTCAAAACGACGTCGGAGAACTCATCCTCCTTAATCTCCCTTAAGCCACCACACCTTATCCTCAAAGTCGTCGAAGAAGAAGAAGTTCTAAAGCCTGGCTTCCCTCGAGTTCCATTAGATAACCAGAGCTTCTTGCAAACCAAAGAAGAAGAAGAAGTGAATGAGCACGTTGTATTAACGGAGGATTTAAGTGAACAACGAACCGGAGATAATGGCAAAGGATAAGGAACCCTTGAGGTTGAGGTGGTGGAAGCCATTGCTGCCATCGCTGAATGCTTTGACCGTTCCCCAATGGAAACTTCAGGTTATCGCTAAAGGAGTAAAGAAGGTTCGGTCCACAACTTCGTTAGCGAGGCAGAATTAGATGCTCTGCGCACCAAGAATGTACAAAACGGTCTCCAATGGTACACCGACACGTACGTAGATTAAGTTGGTGTTAGCATGTTACATATTATAATAATTTTCAAGTAAAATATCTAATTGTCGATTTAAAATCACAATTGACTTTTTCAAATTTTTGGAAAATATTTTTCATATGCTAGAAATTACATAAAAGTAAAATAAATTGTATTTTTTATAATTAACAAAGTTAACAATTTTTTTTGAAATATTTTACTACATAAATTATTTAATTTTTAAAAATACTAATATTATAATGAGATGGGAAAGAGTGATTATATTGTAATGTACGTCAAGAAAAGTATATTATCAGCAAATTAATTGAAAATTAAGGAATTATTGCTAATAATAGGGTAATAGTGACACCTCATTTATGTATCAAAAAATGAATATTACCATAATTCGATTTACCATGATCAAACTTTGACAGTTTTTTTAAGACTTTAAGCTTAAAAGTACCAAAATAGTTAACGATATGCAAGATTTAACATCTTAACCACAAATTACATAAAAGTGCAACTTTATACATTCTAAAACAATAGATACATGACGTGGCGGGAATTTATTGAATAAAATGGGGCAAGTGGTGTACTGCGTTCTAAAGTGGAGATAGCTCAGCTTTGGTTTGGGTGGCTAGAATGTGCATACGTGGATCCTCAAGGTGACATGATGAACAGAAGCCTCCTGTGTACCATTTTATGTGATCTTTATTTATCTTTGACAAGTTATATTATCTTTGGGCATACATTACCGGCCCATTCAACGTTGTATCGATTTTTATTTTGGCACTCTATCTTTTTTTTGTTTCATTTTAGTCCTCCAACTCTATTTTATACGTTTCATCTCCAACTCTATTTCTTATGTTCCACTTTAACACAAAAGCTAAAATCAGTATAAAAAATACAGCGCGTGTATATATATAAATCTGAGGTGTAATAAATATCCAATTAAATGTTGCCACCTAATTTTTTATTCATGTCATACGGGTCAATACTAAAATACATGAACCCGACCGTATTTTTTCATCCATTGTAGCCCCATCTTCATTCTCTAAGTTCCAAAGTTTTCATCTGTCGATTTCATACCTGACTCGTTTAGATGAAATAAACCCACAAAAAATATGGTCGGGTTTAGGTATTTTAGTATTAACCTGTTTGATATGGATGAAAACCAGGTGACAACATTTAATTTATATCTCAGATTTATGTATACACATGTGCTATATTTTTTGCACTGATTTCAACTTCTGTATTAAAGTGGAAGATAAAAAATAGAGTTGGAGAGCCAAAATGAAACAAGGTAGAAATAAAATGCAAAAAATGGTACCAAGTTGAATGCGTTGCATATGTATTTGGCCTATTATCTTTTTTTGGCTAATAAGTTATATTATCTTTTCAAGTTATCTTATCAACTTTTGTCGATTTCTGATTCTAGAAGTTCGTATTTGCAAAAAAAAAAAACAGAAATTATAAAAGATTGTAAATCGTAATGCTCTTCTTAATTTAAGCTTTTTGTCATGTAAATTAGTTTCAAAAATGACTTGAGAATTAATGTATGAATTTGTAAAAGAAATAAAATAAATTTGTTTTCGTATTTTGAACTTATATTTTAGAAAATGTAGCTTAAAAACATAAAAAAACAAAGAAATAGAAAAGGCATGAAGAGGTTCAAAATGCTGTGTCTTTTGTAAAATATTTAAAAGATGGCAAGAATATTGAGAGAAAATATAGAAAGGGAGTTTTTTTTTTCCTTCTGCAGGTGTACATTAGTAGGGCTAAAATACCTTATAGGTGAATAATTTAATAGATCCATATAATATGAATGGTTCAAGAATAAGACACAAAAAAGTACTAAATGGATATTTACAATTCAATATATATGGAACACTTTCACTAAATATTTATTCATAAATAACATGTCTTGTTAAAATTTAACAAAAAAAATACATATATTTATCGATGCACACTGATAGTATCGTCATTAAAAGAAATCTTATCAAACTAACTAATCAGCGAGTTCAAACGTTGGTTAAGCAAATTAATATATTCTGTATTTTACGATTCATGATAAAGCATCACTTAATATCTCTAAAATAATGTATCCTAATTTTTGTATACCAACTTCTCAACTGTTGAGGTTGATAATGAATTATTAAACAAATCTACCGAGACATCATTTGAATAATTATATTGAACATCTTTCACAAATCTTTTGAAGCACACAATGTTTACCAGGAAAATAGATTATTCGATCGCTTTAACAATTACTTTGATTTTGATTTAAAAAAGGCGGTAAAAGATAAGTAAATCATAAATGGTTCAAAACTCTTTATCAACTGGGATGATCCGTATGAACCATAAGAAAACTTGAGATAAAAGAGACATCAATGAATAATAACACAAGGCTAGAGATCCAAATGAAATATAGGAATGAGCTTTTTGTATTAGCTAATGTTCTTTTTTCTAAAAATGATACACACACAAAAAGTGTGAGGGGGAGTTTTATGTGATGGATCTCCTCTCTAGCTTCACTAAGAAGCTATTTATATAAATAAGAAAATACATTTTTCGTGATTAGACCCTTCGATAATGGGAAAAAGACTGTTGGAAAGATTATGGTTCAGCACAAAGCTCGATGATGGGATGTCGGAGGATTGGTGAGAATGCACTCCAGCTAATGCTAGGGTCAAGGCCGAAAGAAAAAGATATGTTGGATCCGGAGTCATTGCGCAACCGATCAATGATGTCCTCATCCATCTCGTGACAGCAACGTAGCCTTGAGATATTGATGACCATGATCTTGAAGCCCCCAATCGGGGTCACTAGCCATGATATCATGAGTGCCGAACTTCTACTGGGTCCAGACTTTCTCGTGTCACATCCCTGTTGATCCACCTAGTATGTCCGAATTTTTACTCATACAGATAGTCCTCCACTTTTCAGATACTTGATGAAACATATTCGGGAAGTGGAAGAGTAACAAAATTCCTTGGAGGGGAGGAAATGTGAACAAACTCCTGACATATGATGACCGACATACGCTGCTGCATACTCGATGGGCTGCGAATATGCATCCTTTCGCATTTAAAGCCCCTATCACCTGTCTGTTCGTATACAACGCCTCTACCACGCGTTGAATCTTGAATGGATTACCCCAAATACCTTAAATGAGGTCATAAAGAGGCACATTTTCGATATCTTTATAAACCCCTCTTTTTCCCACTTCATCACTTTCTCTTCGAATCTTTTGATTTCAAAATTCCCTCTTTGTTGCCCTCTCTTTCTCGGCCTCCTTCTTTATCTTTCCTAAACCTTTATCTTTGTTTTCAGTAAGCTTCCCTCATCTACCATCTGATCTAGAAAGTTCTAACCCTTCCCCTTCTACTGTAAATCTACCAAGGACGGTAACCGTGTTGGAGGTTTATGCGGCAGAAAATCGAGAGAACTTGTTGCGAAACAGCCCCCATCTTCAGGGAAGAAAACAAAACTGCCCCCCAAGCTACTCCCTATTGCGCTGGTGGAGATAATCCCCAAGAGTTAGGATTTTACCCGAGATTGCTCCACTAGGTCGGTCCTAAAATCCGAGACAAGATTGTGGAGTATCTCATTTCTCTCATTACTCTAGATATTCTGCCAAGGGTTACAGAAGAATTCTTCTACAAAGATAAAGGGGCCCAAAATCGGGCTCTGACTTCATACGGTCGGGTTTCAAGCAGCCAACACGGCTCTCTATTTATCTATATGTAACTGTTCACTCTAGGCTTTTACCGGCCGATTAATCCGATAATATTGGATTTTTATCTTCGATACTGGGTATATTTAGTACAAGTTTGCCCCATCATTTGGAGGATAGTCGGTTACCTTACATATTTTTGTGCTAAGACAAATACTCCCCTAACTCTCGAGCATCTCATAAGCCTCTATAAACCCAAGAACTTCAAAGGCGGCATTTTTATGTTGTTCGACCGTGGAGGCAATAAAATTCTTATCAACATGAATGACGACAACGGTCGGGATTGGATAAACCAGTTCATTGTAATCCCCACTGTTGACATCATCCCGAAGACGCACATACCGTTTTTGTTGTCCTGGAACTATTCACGTAAGTGTTCTACTCCCTTCCTCCAATTATTGCTTTATTCATTTTCTGTGTGCTCATGTCGCTTTTTTGGATATCATAGCCTATTATTGGGCCCCCGAAAGTTATTTGGATCTACTTGCTTGGATACAGAATATTCTAGATCTTACTGAAACAACCCCGAATACCCAACTCAGACTTGGAAGTTTGTGGCCAAAATCACTGGTGAAAGCCCAAGCATCATGGTAAGTATCTTTTACTTCCATACTTTTCCCCTTTTGCCGTCAATTTGGACTCTAACTTCCCTTCATCTTTCTGCATGGCTTCTAACCAAGAAGGTCCCTCACAGCGTGTCGAATTCCCGGACACTTGAGGATATGGTCGAGGGTCTCAAAAAGAGGTCTTGCTTCTCTACTGCTAGCTCTATATCCCCTTAAAAGAAGCAAAAGACAAAGAAGGGGAAGCACCTTGACCCCGTTAAGGAGGGCGATGAAGTGTTGGTCCGGAGGTTGAGGACCTAGGAGGTTCATTCTTGCCTCGTAGATGAGGGGTATAACGACGTGATCAATGTGGTCGACAGTGAGGAAGAAGCTCTAGTTATTGCTGCTATGATCTCGACTTTGGAGTTTCGTCCCATCGGGGGAGAGGTCCTTGTCCCTATCGAACCTCTAGTTGCTAAATGAGATCAAATTACTTTCGTGTCAAGGCCCAAAATTCTGAGCAGCCGGCATTCCCGGTCCCTTAATGCTCTCCATACAGCTTGATCATTTAAAAACTAGAGCACAAAGGGTCTTCATGTGATCAGAGAATGGATCCAGTCAACCTCCAGACCCTAGAGAAAATGAGTCCTCTTCCATGGATGGTTCAACA